GGCCGTTTCCTTGCTTGGCGCGCGGGTGACCGGGAGGGAAGCCTATGAGTCGATAGCAAGAATCTTTGCTATGCCCCAATTTGTTGCAATGCCCACAACGGGGTCGATCATCACGCTGCTCCTTGTGATCATCACGTCGATCCTTGTCAATTTGGGTTTGGAAGGCCGCTGTATCAACAATGGGACGGCGTGCGCCAGTAATTTGCCGGTGTTGTTCCTCAGCAGAAACGATCTGATATGCATCCGCTAAGCTCGGGATTGGTTTGGTGCTAAGAATTTGTGATCGAACCACTGAATAAGCATCATCCAGCCCCATTAAGAACTCGAAAAGGTGTTCGGTGTCCCGCTGCGTCTGGTATTGTTGAAACCAATCACAATTACAACCCCCACACGTGCATCCCGCACAAGTACAGCGAGGCACTCCCCCTATCGCTTGCATCTCATCCCAAACAGAACGAAGCTTCGTGTAGAAAGCTGAGACGGACATCTTCTCCTGCCGAGACGAACTCATCGACCGCCTCAATTCATAAGCTCGCTAAGTTGAACCCTTGCTGAACCGGCGCTCCAAATTGGTCCAGATGGCACGAGCTGTTGTGGCCGTGCGAACACTGTTCCTGAGCTCTCGAGTCATTGCGGTCTTCAACCAACCTTTCACAGTCGCATCGCATGGATCCCAAGCATCTTGTTGGTGGCCGGGACTAGCCTTGTTGCGAGGGAAAGAGCTATTTACAAATGCCATCTTATTTTTGGCTATGAGGATCTCGGTGATATCACTTACCCATTCACCATAATTCACATCATTAAGCAAATCGCTGCCGAATAATTGCGCAGGGTTCTCCGAGGGGTGCAGGTAGAGAGGGGAGCTGATCGATATCAAGCTGTAGCCAGAAGCGTCCACAGACTTGCCGCCGCTAGTAGTCTCGTCCTTTCCCATGTCGGAAGAGGAAGCTTGCGCTGGATATTAACGCTCTGATACCATATCATGAACCAGTTGATCCCAATAACTCGAGTTGTTGGGAGAAGGTTATGCTGGATCTTATACAACTCTCTAACACGCCCCCTCAAACGAAAGCCAACCCATGGGCTTGAAGTTTGCACAGGCCCACCAGAGCATGTGCTTGAAAGACAACGGTTAATATTGGGGGTCGTGGAGATTCGAACACATGACCTTTCGGTTCTAGGCTCTGATACCATGTCATAAACCAGTTACTCCCAATAACTCGAGTTGTTGGGAGAAGGTTATGCTGGATCTTATACCACTCTCTAACAAATACTACTCCTTTTCCGTTTCCATTCTCCAGTTCAGTAGTTTGTATGTATATTGGCATACACATATCTTCCCCTTATGTTCATTTATAGTGACGACATTTTGGTCGCCTTTGCCACATATGCTTGCAGGGACTTCTGGACAGTTTTTTTCTCCAGATGGAAGCTCTAAAAGGATTTGCTCCTCCTGACTTTGTTGAGGAAAAGGTCACCACTTTCATCACTCACTCCACTCCTAACATTTCTTCCATCGAGGAGCAAATGGATGTTGCTATTCAAAATGGGTAATTAATGCCATGTTTGCTAAATGGTACCGAGTTGACCATCCAACTGGAAAAGTCGGTTATCGGGGTTCAAATCGGCATAAGATTTTATCGGTGTAAAACGATTAAACCACAGTTTAATATAAAAAAGTCCCATTATTGACTTTTTCGGTACAATTTTCGATACAATTTTACAAAACAATAACCAAATTTCTTGATTTCTACGAGGAAGTGGTCCAATGATAAATTAATGAGTTTTAACCCGAAACAATCAAATCCACTCGTTACGACATTCTATCACCTAATGCTTTATGCAACTGAGTACTCTTTACGACATTCCATCGCCTAATACTCAACGTCGCATAGGAAAGAGTCTGTCGATATTTACTCGGTGTCCATGAAGCTTATCAAGTTAAGGTCAGGCGAGGCCGGCTAGGTATGTGATAATTTTAATTGTTTACTCCTTATGTTCTCTTAAATTCACATGCTAATTGTTTGATCCCATAGTGGGTCAATTTGCTCATCAAAGTTGTATTGATTTTACCAATATTGAGAGACCTTATCCAAATTAGGGTTAGATCAAGAACAAGTTTTGGAATGTAGTCAAAATTGCACTAGTTTTAAAACTTACGATTTTACGTTTCTAGGTCACTAAAACGCTTCTATACAAAATCTCAGTTTTTATAACTTATGTAGTTAAAATCTCCGCTTTAAAACTTAAAAACTAACGATTTTACGCTTCTAGATCACCAAAAGTCCAAAACGTATCTAAGTAGAAACTCGCTTTTGACTACATTGCACGTAAGTATTGGTTTCTGACACGCTAAAACACAACACCTAACAATGGCCAAGTGTAACCAATGAAAGGGACTGCAGTATAGTGGCACAAGTAATAAATATCGAATCCACGGGTCTCTAGAGTTACTATTACTCAGCTTCAGTTCATTATCTAGCAAACTAGATTAAGGATTGATTTATAAACTACTCTACTGACTACTCTACTAATTACAAGTTGGGAACTCACTTAGGTATGATTCCCCCTAGCTCCTCAATTAGGTCCAAGTTGCAATTACCTTTGGTTGATCTACTGTTGATTAAACTGCGGAAGATCCTAAATTAGCTTGGAATCTCTTAAGCTGACCAAGCCCTCTCAGACAGAATACCCGGCAGGCGACTAGCCTTCACCGGGATAGACTGCTAAGGCGATTCACACAGATCTCCACTACTGGAATGAATTCCAGTACAAAGCAGTGAATTGATTGACTCTCGCACAACCAATTCACCACTATCAATCAAGGAAGCTCTCTTAACCTAATCAGATTCTATCTATCATAGGTTAAAGCAGAAATCAAGAGAATTTGATCAAGATTCAATTGACTCAATAAATCATGCCTCAATCGATTATAATCAAACAATATAGCATCTAAAACTTCATACAAGAAAGATCCTAACACATGGAACTAGGGTTCCTCAAAACCTAAGTGAAGGGAAGTTACTCCATAGAGAAGAGAGAGACTGCAGAAATCTGATCTAGATCTTCAATCTCCATCTCCAAGCTTGATTCCCGAGCTCCAATGGCGAAGAAATCCTCCAAAATAGCTCCAAGAATGTTTCCAAGTCGCTCTCTCTCTCTAGGGTTCGTCCCTTGGGTGTTTGGGAACCAAAACCCAGCTCTCCCTCTCCAAAAATCGCAAAACAGCTTTTATACCCGCTGAAACTCGCACCCCCTACTTGCACGGCCGTGCAAATTGAGGTTTTGGCCGTGAAGACCCCTTGGGAAACCCGCACGGCCGTGCAAAATTTCACACGGCCGTGCACAATTTCCAGCATGCACTCCTAAGCTTCGTTGATCTCGTTTGAGCTCGTTTGACCTCCGATTCAGTCGCCGTTTGATCCCAGACGCTCGTAGTCTCGTCCTCTTTCTTTTCATGACAATCTTGCATGATTCTTTGTCCATAAAGTGAGGTAGAAATCCATTCTTCTTCAGGTCATACCCGAGTTTCTTCTCCCGAATCGTCAATTGATCTCTGATTGACTTGAAACTTGCGCCTATGCTTCACTTTATGTGCTAGGACCTGAAATGTGATAAAGGAACACAACCTAGCATAAAATAGGCCAAAGACATGATAATTCAAGCTGAAACAATCAAGAAACAAAGGGGAAAACATGTGCAAATACCGAGTCATCAGTTTCATTACATGCTAATCACTTAACTTTTTTTAGTTGCAAATAAATCATATAATTCGACTTCCGGTTGCACCGTTATATTTTTCATCCTTAAACTTAACGGCAAGTATCAAATTGAAAATTTTCGCATCAATTTACACAGTTCCATTTTCCCTCACATTCTTTCATCTTCATTTCGGTATTACTAGCACTCTCTTTAATTATCTTATGCCATCCTTTATTGTTTTCGTCAAAATTTACAATTTTTTTATTAATTTTTTAGGTCTAATTGAATTATACTTTGGCTTCATTCCAAATAAAGTAAACTTCTTAAACTTATGTGAAATGCAATCTGTATTTTTTTTTTTTTGTTTATAATATATTTTGCATAATTGGCACCTCAGTATAAGCTTTTCTTTTAGGGAACCCTCTTATAAATTGTTTAAATTCATCTGTTATAAAAGAATTTGTACATATCATTGTTGTATAAGTGTTTTAATGAATATTTGAGCTAAACAAAGTTCCAACCGTAAGACTCTTTCTTTAGCTGAGTGAAGCACACCTGAAGTTCAAGTGATGATCAGATAAAAACTAAAGAAGCATATGGAGATCAAATACAAATGGATGCTTTATACTGAATGAGTGAATAAAAATTAAGAAAAGGTCTTATACAATAAAATCAAGCGATAAAAAGAGAAGTAATGTGGGAATTCCATGTGAAGTTTTATCATAGTTTTGTTAATAGTGTTCTACTTGGGTAATGTCTATTTTTTATCTAAACCTTTTTCAGATTCTTTTTTATTAGCCAAACCTATCGAAATACTAAGAATTATCCAAATGTTAACTTTCAGTTAGCAATTTGGTTAGTAATATTGATTTGGCAACATTATGTTGACATTAAAGAGACACATGAAGGTCAACATTCCAAAATTTTAGTATTTTAACTAGGAAAAGAATTACAAAATTATTAACGATAACGTAATAAAAGGAAGGTAACAAAGGAGTCCCCTATACCAAAACACTTTAATCATTCATCATGCTAGTTGGTTACACACTTAAACTACCTATTATAAGATGGTTTACACTAACTACAAGAGTTATAGGTCCTCCTAAAATTGTTTACCTCGAATTGTCTGCTCTCCTATTGATACTAGTTACAACAACAGGGGAAGAGATGCACCATGGTAATGATTATCTAACTCACCAAATTTCTTTAAAGGCAATGCTTCAAAATGATATCTACTAGCTAAATTCAAGGAAAGAAAAAAGAACCACTAGAAACACAAAACTGAAAGAGAAATAAACTGAGACCGAGATACAAAATCCACTAAAAAGATCGAAAGCACCATGAGAAATCAAATGAGTAGAATAAACAAGACTATCAGAAAACAAAAAACCAACCAAATTAAATAACAAATAATCCAGATGAAAAGAACAACTAACCCGATTCATTATGAAGGAGAGTTGACCTGTGTTTTATGTCACTATGTCTAACTCAAGAGGGGGTTTACTACTGTTCTCTCGACTACAAGCTTTGATGCCACATTAGTACGAACCATGGAGGAGGCTGCTACAGGGAGCTCACCCCCTAACCCTGAAGCTATAGAAGTTGAGATTCATACATGAGGATTCAGAAGTATCAAGCTACTAAGTTTATCTTGATGACTGCTTGCATATTTCACACTAAAAGGAGCTAATATCACTGTAGAATAGTGAGATCTTATTGGGACTGATTTCATCGATTACATACTCCAATGAAGAGGAATATTCTACAGATAACAAAACCCAAAAAACTCAGCAAACCCCCTTTTGTCATCTGATGTGACAAGCAAAATTACCATCATTGTATAGTCAAATCCATATTTGGCTTGAAGCTTACCAGAAAACGCCAATCCTGCAAATGGGAAACTGGAAAGCCATCGGTAGTTTTCAATCTTTGCATAGCGTATAAGAGTTTGAAAATCTTATAAAAGTGTACCTAGCCAATCAAAATTAAAGGGATGATAGTTTTTGGAGAACACATGAAGCACTTTGTAGTAAGAGTATGTCTGCAGAAGTACATAGTCATCGTAAATCGTAACTTCTATTGCAAGAAATCACAAAAGTAGCATTGATTAGAGGAACTTACCCATGAAGGGAAACCATAAACCAGAGCCACAGTAGAGCTATCAACAGTTCCACTCTCCACGCAAAACAATCTATTGCACAAACATCAAGCTCCACCTGCATCAGCCATATCCAAAGAGAAGGATGATGAACATAGAGGAAGCTCAAGTGGAAGTCCAGAACCTGCACCTGCAGAAACAAAAACAAAAATGATCATGGTAATCATCATCAACAACAAGCAGACTAGCAGCAACTCAAATATATTAGGCCATAAATCTCACCCCAAGGCAAGAAGACAGCGAGAATCTCCAAGACAGTGCGCTCATAGAAGTATAAAAAAGCAATACTATAATAACTACAATAAGACATGACTTACCTTGAAAGGAATCTCAAGAACAACAAGTATGCAGAGCACCCAAATGCTAAAAAGAACTCAGTTCAACTTCAGTTTTGTGCTTTCATGCTAAGAAATTCTGAGGCAACATAGAAAGGATGAACTAAGAGATTAAGCAAGACATTCGAGAATATAGAATAAAAAAATGGAATACCATCATTTACCTCGTTCATACCAACCTGCCAAGACACCATACCAACATTTATAGCCTAATTGGTTCACCAAATCAGAATTAGCAGAGTTGTCACATACCCTTGCCTCTTAATGATTCCCTGGCTTATCCCTTTCCTTTATAAGTCATGTATAAATAATTACAGTATATGAGCATGAGGCTTGAAGAACGAAAATTAGGATACTTAACTGTATAAACATAACTAACTGCATATGTTTTACAGGAATGCAATTAGGCAATGCTATATGGCCGGGAAACATACCCTTGAATGGCTGCAACATGGGGATTTGCGTAAGGGGAATACTATTGCACCTTCAAAACTTGCAATTCATTCCCCCTCTACCAGATCTGCTTCCACTTGCCCAGGACCACCACCCGCTCTGTTCATTCTGACTCCAAATTGACCCATTGTATCATCGGCGGCAACCCCATCCTCCACCACCCTTGTGAGATCAAGGCTTGCACGAAGATCATTAGTGGATTCTACTATAGCCGTTGCGGGACGTGTTACAAGTTACAACAACCTCTGCCTAGCTCTGTCATGACCTCTGGCCATCCCCACGTACTCAAAATCCACTTATTTCCACAGTGCGATTTCAGCTACGACCTTTGTCAGAACCCCAACTACAAAGGATGGCTCCACCACTGCCGCGTTTGCGAGTTCGACGCACATATCGCATGTGCAATTTCGCACAAGAACTTTGAGCTTGCTACCTTGTCAGACAACCTGGTTCGTTAGATCTTGAATTGTTCGCAGACTGGTCACGTATTATGCATTTGTTCGACTGCTCTCACTGAGCCTAGGGTTTCCTGCCATCACCGATGAGGAAATCGATAGAGAAGAGCAACCCACAGTGGCGGACGTTAGCGAATCGAGGAGGAGATGGTGTAACTGCAAACGGAGCCTTCGATGAATTCTATTCCGACTTCGGGGAATTTCGTCACATCGGGAGAGAAATTGCTGGTGTCTGGATCTAGGGTTAGGGATTGATTTTTGAGAGGGTTGAGTTTTTGCTGTAGGATTTATTTCCGAGAGAATAGACTGCAGAGTAGAGAAAAAGAGGAGAATGCTTTTTTAGAGAGAGACAAGTAGGCTTTGGCCTTTTTGCATATGGTGGAATATTTTTTTTAATCCACAACCTTCAGCGGTCTTTGAACCGTTGCATGGAACTACTGCTATAATGCAAATCCACATAAATGCGGCAAGGGTTAAGAGAACCGTTGTAAGTAAAGCCCTGCCATATGTCTATTTATTTGTAGTGAGTTAAAACTCCGCTTTAAAACTTAAAAACTAACGACTTTAAAACTTAAATGTATGTATATACTTGTTTAATTTTTATAAGTTTAGAATTCAGGACCCCATTCATATAAAATTTAATTGTTCTAATATTATGAAACTCACAAATAAATTATACTATATTTTTCATTATCATTAAAAATCCCCAATTTTATAGTCCTTATTCTAAAAATTTATAATTCTACTAAATATGTTTTCAAAAACCTCCAACTATATCTAAAAAGGTCTTAGTTCAACAAATTTTTCCTATAAATATACAATTTTTTTGTCATCAAATGTGTTTTATAAAGCGTTTGTGTGTATTAAATTTTGCTTGGTAACTATTTATTTTAGCTAGTTATTGAAATGGCACTTTTGAATTATAAGTTACACAAAATGTAAGGTACGAATCTAATAACTAATGGTTTGATGAATAACTACTTGACTGAATATTTTTAATCAAATTTACTTATAATTGAATACAATGTTATAAGATTTTTTACGTAAATGTGACCCCATTAAACTCGAATCCTAGCTACGCCACTGTACATACATAGTAAATCTTCACTATAAAGGAAAATTATTGTCTTTTGATCGAAAATATGATGGTTAACGCCTTCGAAAACCTTCAATTAATGACTATCTGAAATATTGGTACAAAGAACAATTTATCAATGCTAACTCTCATCACATAAATAAACAAACTCAAATTTCACCTAATACAACCTCTAAATCCATTCCTAGCTCCCCACTTATATTTATATAGAAAACTCTATCTCATTTAACTATTCAATTGCCACATATACAGAAGTTATCCTTTAATTTCATTTGTATGAACTCGTGTGACAACTAAGAACATCAAAGCCACTACCATGTTTATTTGGTATCACAACTAACTAAATGTGTTCAGCCAATTCCATGTCCTAAACTAGCAAGCACCTTAACCAATCTATAAGTTTTTATGAAACATTCATTAGCGATCTCTCACAAAACAATAATAATTTCAATTTCAATAGATATATAAGTTCATAGATAAACGCCTAAGCAATTACCATAGACGAATTCATCAAATCTAGCCTCAAATAAAGTTCAAACATTTAAGGAATAAAATACCATACATCTAAAATATTGTACTTGAACTAAATGAAATACTCACACTAATAATAGTTCATCTATTTATCTTACAGGTACTTTCAAAGACAAATTTTTATCATATCGTTGCATTAACGGGAGCACTACCAATTTAGTGATACCACCAACCGATGAATTGATTGATCTGTCAAGCATTACTGCATTTCTTGCTTATGGGAACATATTTTTAGGGCATAATTCAAAAGTTATCAATCCGTTAAGAGAAAGAGAGTAAAATTATATTGGTGTAGACCCCCCTAAAAACAACTTTCACATAACCTTTATATTGGCCTGCAACCACTCCAATCTCGACTCCTTCTCACTAAAAATAATCGTCGCCAAAGTTGGAGATATAATGAAAATTACAAACTCAGGATCCCACAATTCTCGATGGAAATGGCCAATCACACCAAACTAATAATCGGCCTTAATAATCATTACAAACTTCAAGTGATTGACCAATTGGTAATATGGAAAGCTAAAATTTACCACTTTGTTCTAACTATATGGTAAAAAATCAATCTAAATGTAATCATTAAAAATATATAAATTATCAAATACTAATTCATTAGTACCAATATATATCTCCAAACAAATTTAATGGTTGATAATAGCTTACATTGACATATGAGAATGGTTGAAGGCTATTATAATGATCAAATCTTAAATTTTTAAGTATTTCTTTAAGATTTTAGTTAAATAAAATACTTCATTATACAAACATATAATTACTTGTTGTGAAAATATAATTTTACAAAAAAGAAATCATGATTTTAGGAAAAAATAGTCATGAGTATTGAAAATATATTTGGCCATTTGGATCATGGGTGCTGCAATTGGTGGCAATGGGTATGATTGCCTAATAATATATGTCGATATTTTAACAAAAATGAATTTTTTTAAATCCACGTCTATAAGCATTTGCATGAATAAGTGTATCATCATTCTTACTACCAAGTTAAAAGACACTCTCAATCAATGCACTCAGTACTCAACTTTGAATACCAGATGAAATCTTATATTTCAACCTACTTCCACTAACGGGACAAATAATGAGTATACTTCTAAATAATACATAAGAGATTTCAAACATCACGATATTATAAATGTACCAGATATTGTAAATGATAAAGTCAAAATTCATTCAACCTACCGAGTGAGTATAGAGTTTGTTCATTCTTCAAACTATTTTATTTATATGAAGATTCAAAATGTATAATGAGCTTTATCTTGCCCGGGCCGACAAATTTATTGACACATCAAAAAATGGTGAAATGAACCACATGTAATGACATGCTTGCCCCTCCAGAAAGCTCTATAGTGGCTGGAAATTTGAATTCCTAAAAAGCCAACCCATGTTTTGCATTTATATCTTTTGTAGATTATTAATTCTTTCTATATTAATTTTATATCAAATAAATATTATTTTCGTGCCATGTCTGGGCTAGCAAGAAAATATTAGGCTGTTACGGACTACGTACGAGTAGCAAGTGATATAGTACGTAGTGTCCGTTAGTCTTTGTTTAAGGGTTGTTTAGCATTTATCCCTAGTTGAGTGATGAGAAGGGATATTATGCATTCTTATATATATATGTTGCTGCCGTGTGCATGGAGCTGTATCAGAAAAGGGATTTCTAAACCCTAATAATAAAACTAAACCGAAGACCCCTTGAGTGGGTCTTCCGTGGATTAGTCTTGCTCGTATCGAGCAAGGATACCACGTAAATCGCTGCGTATTGTGTGCCTTGATCTCGTATTTGACATGGTATCAGAGCTGTGAGCAGAGATTCACGGCGGTTGTTCTTTTGGTTTTTCGGGATGAGTTCTGACGACGAGACGACGACGACGGACGCCAAGCTGAAGACTCCGGCGCCCGAGACGCGGCCCATGGGTTCTGCTTCTGGCAGCGGCTCGTCTTTTCCTCCTGCGGTCGTTCTCCACAACTCGGACAGTCCAAATCAGCTCTTTGTCAGTGAAGTTCTTACTGATTCCAACTATACCGAATGGCTAGGTGATATCACCGATTCCTTTATTGCCAAGAATAAAGTTGGGTTTGTCGATGGTTCTATCCCGCAGCCATCTGATGGTCCTCTTCGCGATCAATGGAGGATTTGCGATGCTATGGTGAAAGGTTGGTTGAAGACGGCAATGAGCAAGGAAATCCGCTCAAGCGTCCGCTTTGCCAGCACTGCGCGTGATATTTGGCTTGATTTGGAGGCTCGTTTCGGCCAGCCAAGCGCGCCTCGACTTTATACGCTGCGTCGGATGATCAGCGCCATTCAATAGGAGAAGTCTAGCGTCTCCAGCTTCTACACTAAGCTTCGGGGATTGTGGGATGAAATCAAATCTATCTCCCCAGCTCCCGATTATCATTGCAGCGGCTGCACATGCGATGTTAAACGCAAATTTCGTGCTACCAAGAATAGTGAGCAACTCTTTGAGTTTATAATGGGTCTCGACGACGCCTTTTCCACGGTCAAGACGCAATTCCTGGCCATGAGGCCCACACCGAGCCTTGCGGAAGCTTACCAAATGGTTAGCAATGACGAACAGCAGAGGCGAATTGCACAGGCTCCGCGTCCCACTGTTGAGGCCTCCGCATTTCATGCCCAAGACGAGCGCACTACCTCACGTGGCTCTGCTGGGCGCTCTTCTGATTCTACTAAGCCTCGATATTTTTGTGACCATTGCAAGAAAACTGGCCACACAAAAGATCGTTGCTATGAGCTAGTTGGCTATCCCGATCGCACCGCGGGGAAGGCAGAGCGTGGTGTTCGCTCCAAGGGTGGTGATCGCGGCAAGGCGCCTCCACAGGCAGCCCAAGTTGGCGCTAACGTTAGCCCGATCCCTGGTCTTTCTGATTCTCAGTTCGAGCAGCTCAAAAATATGTTTGGGTGCGAGTTGAAGCACGCGTAGAGCCCTGCTGATAAGGCGACAGGTATTTCCTCTTATTCCCCCGACATAAATGATGAGTGGTTGATTGATACGAGCTGTAACGAACACATCATGAACAATCCCGACTTAGTACATGGATCACAAGTAGACCCGGGTTTGCAGGTTCGAGTTCCTAATGCAATTGATGTGACTCGTATTGGTGAGGTTCGGCTGTCTAATGGATTGGTCTTACCTCGGGTGCTGTTAGTTCCGGAATTTAAATGCAACCTGTTGTCTGTTAGTCAGCTTACTCGGGACTTTTCTCTGGCTTTGATCTTTCTTCGGGACTTCTGTGTGATACAGGACTTGCCCTCGAAGATGATTATTGGGACGGGGAACCAAGCTAATGGCCTCTACTACTTGAGCCTCTTCGATGGGCTCCGTCGCGAGATGGCTCATGTTGTACGAGGGCATGTCTCAGCTGATCTTTGGCACTCCCGGTTGGGACACCCGTCACCCGAGAAGTTGGATTTATTGCATTTATTTCCTCGAACTCCTAGCACCAATAAAACTCTTTGCTCATATTGTTTACGGGCAAAACAGTCTCGTTTAGCTTTCCCTTCCTGCTCGATTCGCAGTACTCGGCCATTTGAGATTGTTCATGTTAACATTTGGGGAGGTTATAAAGTCCCTTCTTTGAGTGGAGCTCAGTATTTTCTTACCGTTGTCGATGACTTCACTCGTGGTGTCTGGATTTATCTCCTTAAGTTTAAGTCTGAGGCTGGAAGGTATT